GAGCCATAAGGCTGAACATTGGGGTACACGTTGATAAGTGTTAGTTAGTTGGAGGCAGTAGGGAGGTAGCCCTAAACTTAGGTTTCATGCTCGTTGGTACTCGTCAGCAAGGGATATCTACAACCTCAGTGGAAGTGATGTCCCGCCTGAGACTCTAACCTGCGTCCCCCAGGGTTGTAGTCAGCGTCCTTACTACTGAGCTAATTGAGCTGTGATTGTCCTCTTTTAGGGTGCAGTCATTATTTGAATTAGTGGAAAGACCAAATCGGTCGAACGTTTGATACCTCCATTCTCATCCTTATAAAAGCTTCATTGAAACAAGATTTTTTTGGAAACGCTGACGGCAACATCTGCCTATGGCCAATGTAGCTTAACATTTGGGAAACGATGAGCTCCATAATACACATGAAAAAACCTGAATAAATAAGCATTTCATTACAATATTTGGAGGACATTTGACTGCCGGTAAAGTAGTATTTTGAAACCAGAGCTGCCTTGCGTTTTTGCTAATTTTTATCAGCATGATACGCGGTTGCTACAGAATAAAAAACACCTGTCTTTTATGATATTACAATCAAAATTTACAAGGTATTCTGAAAGATTCTGACTTAAAAAGTCATGGCTAAAAACTGTCAAGTTTAGTCATTATATTTTAAGTCTTGGACATTTAACTGATCTTACTTTGCATATTCCCTTTGAACTCATACCCTCTGTGCGTATTTGATTACTGCTAAAATTCACTTTACTTTTGTAAGTAAACACGAACTGATGTACAATGTTTTCTGTCTCATACTGATCTGTCTTGTTGTATTTATTAACCGATCCAATTCAATTATGATCAGAAGTAAAAGAAAGTTTATGTACCTTTTTGAATCTTGGAGATTTCTTCCGAGGAATAATTTAAAAACACCCTAAAATTACGATTCATATTTACAGCACTTGGGAATGCTGTAAGGTGTTTAAATTGAATGATATTTAATGCATTTTGTTCATGTAAACATTTTGTGGTAACATTTCTGTTTTCCGACCATTAATGTTGGCATTTAGTGTACTGTTTAGGTTAAAATAGATTACACGCCATAAGTCATTAGGTCTTACTAGTTTTGCATGGTAAATAGACTCCATTTCTGTAGTATTGATGTACAGTGAGTGGTTAGCAGTGAAATCCAGGGCGTACGTTTTGTCCAATTTAAAACTCATCAGCAGGATGTACTTGCCTCCCTGCGAGTGGTGCTGCAGCTCTTACGGCAGTAGAAACCAGTCAAATTACATGCAACAACATAAATTTCATCTTTTTACTGTTCTCCAAGCTGACTGATATTTTTGGCGAGATACAGAGTTCTGCTTCAACAAGTGAATTCACCAACGTATGTTTTTCTTTACGGACGTAATCCTCTAATCATGCAAAATGTGTTCATCAAAATACAAGGATCAACAGATTTTTAATTGTAAGCTAACGTTTTATGTCAGTAGACAATAACCTAGCTCTATGCGCATTCAGCCTTTGACACCTACTGAATCAAAATGCTACCTGTTTAAAACCTTACCAATCGTGGGTGGGGCCATGGATATGCACTGCTGAGGGGACTCATACTAGGAAGAAACAGATATTCACTGCTCCCAGGTTCTCAATGGTTTTTCTATTGACATTACTCTCTGATCAACACTAACCTGAGATCAACAAAAGCCCTACAAACCTTCGAATTGGAATTCAACTATTAGGAGGACGTGATGCATAAAATGTGACATTCATATGTCAGCCTTTGCTCTAATATTAAATTTCTTCTATTCATCTGTAAACTGTATTTTGTAGTAGCTAGGCTATTTAATTTAACCAGAGATATTTGAATTTTTCAATTTGCTATATTATTTTGCAGTGCATGACACTGGACAGTGATAACAGTTGACAAACGCTGAAAATAACATTTTAATCCATTGGCAAAATAAGGCAGAAATTCGTAAAATTAATTTCCTGTTTTATGCTTTTCTTTGTGTTCAGGATAACCTTATGAAACAGATGAATTTTTCAACCAAGTAATCAGTCGGTCTTTTTTCTGGCATTTGTTAAACAAATGAAAACAGCATATTTCCGATATATTTTTGTTTTACGAAAATCCTTCTGACAGTTACAAATTAGCCTGCATTTTCTGATGTCTCCATTGTATGACATAAAATACTGATAGAACAGACGTTTTTTCTCCACAGTTCCATAATATTCACTTATTTAGTATGCTTATTAATTTAGTACTTTTGTCTAGAATTAACTCTGTCTCTTCAAATAAGTTAATAGAGAAACTATTTTCTCTATTTTTTATGGACATATTTAGATGATATTTCACAGCAATGGAAAGATTTGGATGGCATTTTCCTGATGAAATAAAGTGTCAATGTCAGCAAATTATCAAACTCATTGAACCTTTCGATTGGTTTTTTATTTATTGTTTCATTAACTTTCATCAAGTAATCTTAGCTGTAATAGTCAGTGTGCGGTTATTTTTGCTCTAAGTGCAATTACCGATATTTAAATGCAGTGGAAGTATTTTACACTGTACCTCGGTGACCTAATGGATAACGCTTTGGTGTCTGAAGCAATGGGCGCTGAGTTCGCGTCTCAGAAGGAACAGTAGCAGTCACTGAAGTGCAGGTACATCCAGATGATGGGTCCTAAATAGTACGAAACGCGCATCCCTAGTTCCATCACTAACTACCAAGTAAAGTATTATGTAGTGTTAGAGGAATTTAAAAGTCCAGTAAAACAATATTGAACTTGATGTCATATGCAAAATGGCCAAAATATGACACAAATGAATCCCCACCTTATGAATTCTGATTTTCTTTGGTATCTAAGTGATTGGTTACATTGAATACCTGGATTTAGTACATGGATATTTCAATCAATAATCTATACACACTAAGGAAGTCTTTTGTTTTAGATGTAATCATAAAAATTATTTCGACATTTTTAGTTTTGAAGGGCTAACATTTGAAACGATGATATTTTTGTATTTATTAAATGCACTGAAAAATGCATATATCTGAATCATCGAATAGTTAGTTATGCAATGTTTTCGCAGTTCAGACCGAAACGAAGATGATTTATTTTCACATTTGTAGTAATTATTTCTTTTTCACACCGATCACTAATATCTAATCCAACCTCTTTTTTCATTCTTTTCGTTTGTTTCATTTTAACTGATTACAAGAGCTAAAAAATTCTTAGGACAATATTGAAATGTTTCGATCTACTGATGAATGACTAGTCAAGTTGACCTAACTTTTGGAAAGAATAATTGGTTGGCAGTGATGTGTACACAAGCGTAAACTTACACTAGATTGTTTGCTTGTTCACATACACTCGTAGACAGAAAGAATGGAAGCGAAAAAAAACCGAGTTCTATAAAACGCGGTTGATAGACAGTCGTATTGATAGTTTCTTTCCCCTTTAATCAATACAACTTTAATCAACTTTGCTAATGAGAGTGATTATTACCGTATATTCACATATTTCAGCAAAAAGCGTCAATGATTGCAAAAGGTAGGAAGGATTCGAAACGTGTTTGATGTGTATTATTTGACTGAAGTTGCAGCTGAAAGAACTTAGTTGAAGAATTTTTAAGGCTTATAGTTTAAAACTACTTAGCCAGCAATGTAAGATTACACGAAAATTAAAACGTTAGTTTTCTACAATTATTTTTTTGCCTTGTTCGTAACCACAGGTTAACTACTCTAGCTGTCTAGTAGCCTTTTACTAATTATGTTTTATACGCTACATCTCAGAAAGTGGAAGTGTGGACTTTTAGATGAGCAGGTCGGATTATAGACTTCTGTGGTGTTTTCATCGAAGAGAGGAATATGCTGAATATGCCAAATTTTCTAGGCAACTAGTGAAATTAAGATGCATTCAGCTATAAATTTTTTGAAGCAGTCAAATGATTGCTATTCACCTCTATTCCAATTGATACAACCGTTTGAAAAATTTTGGCTCCACCTTTTTAAGTAATAAGCAATACGGATATTTTGTTGCAGTATGATTTTTTCTACAATCGATGTCTACATCATCTTTTCACAAAAATCCTCAATAGTAGTTTGCGGAGATGTATCTCAAAACATACTAGCAGTAGCGAGACTTTATTTTCAGGCGAGAATAAACCAATTAAATACTGTTTATGAAGTAGAAGTTTACTATATTCGAGGTTCGCCTAAAGAGATATAATCACAATAAAGCAATAGTTATTTGAAGTGACCAATACGCAAGTGAAATGAAACCAGATTGAAATTCAGTTGCTATCAGGTATAAATTAGAAAACATAGGGACCATAAACTGCCTTATCATAACACTAGTGCAATTTTGATGAACAAGTAAAGTGGGAAATTTTGTTCGTTTTAGATATTTAAATAAAGCAAAGTGACTTAGTTTGCAGAATATTATGAATTCATTGTGTTCTGTTGCTCTCGGTAGGCTACACACAATACAATCATCTGGAATAGTTAGAAAGAAAGGAAAAATTAAAAAATGAAAAATAAAAGCACTGAATTCAAAAGTAACATACCTGGAAAACCTTTTCAGACAGCTGGATATAAAAATTCAATAGTGATAGATCTGGAATGTTGAAAATGATCGATAACTAGTTAAAGTGAAGGAATAGTTTGCGACTTAAGATTTAAAAAAAAAAAGAGATTAAACATTTTGAGTGGAGCTTCATGAATAACCATCATTCTTTGAAGAATAAAAACAAAGTGGAGATGAATCATATTGTTTGAAATGCGTTATTGAGACAGCTTAAGACTATCTGCAAACTATTTAGAGTAGTACACAAAAGTTAAATTTTTCCCCTTAATTGCTATGATCTCTGTAAATAAATGTGGTGTAGAACTCTTCTATCGAATTATGATTTAAAATATACTTTTGGTGTCCACGTTGCATTCTATGTTTAGTGGAAACGTTACAACTAAAATGATTTTTCCTATTCTATAACCTATTCTTCGTTATTTCATTGTAGGTGCTTTTGCAAAGATATAAACATCTGTCAGTTGTGTCCTAAATAACAAGTGAGAGATTTTTCTTTACTTTTGCCTGCATTGTTTCTAATAACACATTCTATGTTGAAGGACTTATTTATCACCAGCTTCCATTGTTTGATCAGTTTCCCTTGACCTGCCCGACAACTGGTAAGGTAACTTCAGTGGACCGCTTACCCTACAGAAGCTGCGAAAGTTGCTGGACTGCCTATTCAGACTTTCTTCATGACAACCAAGTATCAGTATTCTTTTCAATATCTATTACAAAAACTTACTGCAGTGTAGTCAGATTACACATAAATGAAGAAAATTATTTGATAACTCTTCTAGAAAAGAGTGGTTACCAATGCAACCTCATTACAGGTTTCTTCAAGCCATTACTAACTTGGAAGTCTTAAATGGAAATCGGAAAATCGATTGTTCCACTATGATAGACGTACCACAGATCACGACAAAGTTATTAGGACCATATAACTCAAACCCAGGACGAAGCAGCTAAAAAAGAAAAACCAAATATCATTTACAAAGCCGGCTACAGCAACCGCGACCTCCTCTACATCTGACAAAGTGACAGCTTTCTCTGTCTTCATTTACACAAGCTCCAGATGGTAATTAAATATATATCAGCCTATATTGGTAACCGTGGGCATAAATTCAATCTTGAAAATCTACAGGTTTTAAGTAGAAGAAACACAGAGAATACCAGAGAATTTCTCGAAGGTCAACACCCATGTCAATCATTAATCAACAGATACTAAGACAGTGAGTCAATCTGGCAACCGTCAAAACGTTAGAGGGAGAAAAATCCAATAAGAAATGTTGTTCATTCACTGACAGATCAATCAGAGTAAACTAGCAGTCTCACACTTCCTCGTCAGGATTAGCTATTTAATCAGTTACAGAGAATTCTCGATAAATTACCTGATACTGAAGTAAGTGCTAATGATGCTGTCTGAAATGACAATGAAAGCTTCAAGATTAAGGCATTTGAATTGAAGAATACGACACCATCAAAATCAAAAAGAAAGTAGGTGACAGTAGGTTAATGATTGTAAAATTGGGCTTAAAGGATCAGAATTAACTTTTAGCATGGTAAAAAAACTACCAAAACATTATCAACAGACGAATATATAATGGAATGAAACGCAAATCAACTAACAGAAATAAGTGAAACCGTCAAATACATTAAAAAAGCAAGTGAACTATCTAAACCAAAACCTCGAATTACCGATCGGCTAAAACAGCAGTCTTTTAATAAATAGAAAGTATGAGGCGATTAGTTATATGCGTAAACAGAAGTAAAAGCTTTCGTTGTAGTGGGAAGTGAAGGAAGATTTCATGCGTTTGCTTTTACTTCTCAGAGTAACACGCTTTTACAAGACTTGATCGTAGGCAGTGTAGCTGAACTATGGAGTATTTCACAATTCGTCCGTAGACAAAGAATAGAAAAATAAAAAGGAATAAAGTCTAATTATCTATGCAACGAGGCAGCAGGTGGCCAGTGATCGTGCAGAAAAATTATTTACCTGATAAAGAAGACCTTAACTCAGTTGACGCATGTAGCATACAATGTCTGTCTTGAACTAGTAAATTTCTTTGGTAAATGTACTTTACCAGTTTACTTGACTTTTGGTTAAAATCAGACCTTATTCAACTGCCTACCCAAGAAATTTATTCCACTTACTGCTTCCATCTTTCGATTCATTGAGTTTCATACCGTTATACTGAGTCACAACTTTGCTTCCCTTCTTAAATCTATAGTCCACTTTCATTGGTAATCTTTTTTCATCCTTCAGAATTAACGTGTGTGCATTGAAAAGTATCTGTTTTTTGATTATTTTGTTTGTAAAAAGAGCCGTTTTCGGTGTTGAATGTATTTTAATGTGAACTAACTGCTTCGACTTGTCTGTTAGGTATTGTTATTTTTCGTTTTCACATCGTTACTATGAATTCAGCAGACTATTTACTTGAAAGTACGACAAATGGGAATGTGGTTTGGAAAATATTTGAACTTAGAGTATTGGTCATAAAATAAGCAGCAAAATTATTTCACAAAAGTTTTCAGTTTTGTGTACTTCAGTTCTATATGATCTAAGCATATTTCTGTTTGTATTCTACATAGAACTCTCCATTGCAAAGCAATCTTCAACTTTGAAATGGTGACACAACAGTTGAAGGAAACAACCAATCACAAATCATTTCGTCAGAACAATCTCCTTAACTACACATTGTGACATATTGACAGCTCACTTCATACTGTACTTAGTGCTGATGATGTCGTCTAGAAAGACAATGAAAGCCTCACGATTAGACAACGTAACTCAGAGAACCCAATACAACAACAATTCTGAACTTTATTTCAACCAAAATACTTCATTTGAATTTAATTTCCGTAGCTACTATCCACGTAAACCTAAACTGATGACGATTAAAAAAAGGAAACTATGATTTCATCCATACCCCTTCCACTTTTTTACTTCGGCGTGGATCGTTGAATAAAACCATAGTTCTTATCTAACTTATGACAGGAAAACATGAAGAATCTAATATATTTTACACTGCCTGTATCCGGGATGTTGCCATGAAAGCATAATGTAACACTTGATTTAAAAGAACACAATAAATGAAGGTATTAATTAAAATTCTGGCTTAAATTACTCGTCTTACGGATTGTTTGAACAAAACAATGGCGACTGACTTCAGTCACTCAACATACAGCTTACATTGCGACTTGCAAAATACTGGCAGTGATTTTCGTTCGGTTTACTGTTAAGATAGTTTGCATGTGTGAGTTATCGAAGTTCATTAGTTGTTTGCATCCTTCAGATAGCTGTTTTAAAACTGAACTTAGTAATCGTATCAGTTTCAAACTTTACAAAGAGATTTAGAATGAACTGAGAAAATGTTCAGCTGCGATACTGTTCAGCTTTATAATAGTCCGTTGTTACATACATTCAACATCTCGAGAAGATAGTAAACGAAACTTTCATTCCATATTAGATTTGTTTATTTGATTTATAACACACAGTGATCTAGTATTACTTGCCTGATGACGTTTCGAGCATAAATTATTGCTCGTAACCATATCAATGTGATGTGATTATGGGCAATAATTTATGCTCTAAACGTCATCAAGTAAGTAATACTAGATTACTGTGTGTTATAAATTAAATAAACAAATCTAATATGGGATTAATTTCTAACACAGTGCCCAAGTTTCACACCTATATTAACGAAACTTTCAGTTTCTTTCCTCAAAAATATGCCATTAAGCACACATTTCCAATATTTCCGTATCACCATCCCTAACAGTATTGGTTGGGTGTTATGTATTGGAGTTGGGACTGGGTTTTTTATGTAGCATTTTTATAAGAAGTAATCCACACGTTCGGTCTAAAATCTTCATGTAAAGCAAAAAATAGTTGGTTAAAGAAGTTATACTTCTTTTAGTATGATCTGTTTATTCATTTACACATACCAGGTGAAATGGAAAAAGAGGGTGAGAAGTTCAATAAGCTGAGCCATACTAAGTGAAAGTTCATTCAGTAATAAAACTGTGAATTTTTAGTGTTCATGTAATAAGGTAGGTGTAGTGTAAGAACAAATTGTTTTTGTATACATAAAGATGGTTTCAATTTGTGCGTGGTTATGGCTTCCACTAATCTCAACATACGTCACTGAATATTTTCATGTAAAACTTTGAAAGTTATCTTGACAGTAATTTTGTGACCTGTTTTTATGATGTGTTTAGCTATAGATGAAGAGGGTCGTCTTCTATCAGCGTTTATCACGGTTTTACACTCCATTTGTGACAAGTAAATGCGTGCTGAGACTGTTCGAAATGTATTGTGCATATACATAGTCTTCTAATTACGCTGTCGAGTGAAACTCAGATGGGAAACGGCGAGTTGGGCGTTCGAGGCGAGGGTGACATGAAGGAGATCGTATGAGAAAGAAATGAGAGCTTGTGGGCAGTCGTGGAGACGTGCTACTGAAGCCGTATGTTCCACTAGAAACCCAAGGCACAAATAACAATAATAATGATAAAATCAGAATTTGCCAATCACTGTTTGAAGTCCCATCTCAATAAGACCACATTAAAATCAGTTATTCATTGGATAGATAGTTTTAAGTCTTTCATTCTTTTTGAAAATGATTCAGTCATAAAAACTCTGTAGCTTGTTTCGGGCTCATCTTGCGCTTTTCTTACTAACATGTTATCAGACTAAATGCACCGATGCCAGTAAAATGATTGTCTTTCGACGTCGCTACTTCCGGTAAAACCAAACTAGATCCAGGTAGTTTATGTAAAATATTAGGAAGTGATGATCATAACGGGCATTTAGAATTGAGAGAATGACAAAATATGTTAAATACTAAAGATGTTTTAGTATCGGGTAGCAAGAATTTTGTTGCAAGTAGAACAGTTAATGAAATATTGTTTTCAGTAACAGTTAGCAAGGTTTCTCAGCATGATAAGTAGAACACTTCATAACTTAGTTCAAATCCCCTACCGTATTCATGAAGTTAGCCACACGTACTTATTGGAGGTCTTTCAGACAAAAAATTTTGGCTAGGTAATGGCATACGACCACCTGTATAATCACATAACCACTAGCAGAAGTAGTTACCGTCTTAGTTGGTTGAAAGCAGTCTACAGGAAGGGTTAAACCCAGATTTTGTGCTTCTTGTCACTCGTCACCAAGGCGTATTTGCAACCCTGAGGGAACTGATGTCCCTTCTGGAATTTAAATCTGTGTCACTCACTGTTGCAGTCAGTGACCTTACCAATGAACTGTTTGAACCGTGACTGACCTCCTGTAGGGCTTGGTGAGTTAGTCACTGGAGAGCAGCCAACTTCATGTTGTTTAATCTTGAGTGCTGACTGAATTATAACGATTGCCAGGTAGTGTGAAACCTATTTTCATAGCCTCCTGCCGATTGCCTCCATCCAGCCAACATTTACCAAACTGCATTATGGATATGATCCTCCTACCTTAGTAGGCCCACTGCAAAATGACTGACAGAATTCGATCATCACTCGGGACTCAAAAAGATAAAATTATTCGCTCTCCAGTGACTAATCAGTATATAGTTGCCATGTTCTGCTACTTCACTTTAGTAAGACGTATCAAAACAAATCACGTAACTGCAACTGAATCATAGTTTTCATGTAAGAGATGTGCGATGTATTGTTCACACAGTTGTCTGTTGAGATTCCCTGCAGATATCTAAATAGCCTTACGAATAACGGTGAAAATGAAGTCGCTAAGTTCAGTTTTGATAAGATTTTACACCTTTATCATTTCACTCATCCGTTCCGAGTAAACCTCCCCGTTCTTTAAATCTTAACAACGCTCGCTCCCAAGCCTAAAGGTACTTGATTCGATCCCTCGGAAATCACGGATGCATATTGCCAAGGAGTTCCACACTCGGACAAAATAGCTTTCCAGTACTCCCTGGTTTCCCACAGTTCTCCAGCTTACACCAGTTAGTGTTGAATACCAACTTGAAACATATATTTCCGTTGGATCGCTTGTTGTATGACAACAACATTTAAGTAATGGTTAGTTTCGGAAATGAAAAATTTTGATGTTACTTTTCTTCCTTATAAGCATAATAAGTCAAGAAATGATGACCACTTTTGCTAATTATTTCTTATCGAATCCTTCTCCTTCTCTTCACATCACTAAGTCCACTACTTTTTGACATGTATGTATGTGCTGCTGTCTTATCGAGTGATTCTAATAGTCACAAAAAGTATATGCAAATGTTTCATCGACAGTTTAGTTTAGTTCACAGTTTAAGCTACATTCATTTTCGGAAACAGACACTAATTTCATCAGACATAAGTATGTAGGCGAGGTTGTACAGATATACTGAATTTTCTAGTGATAAATAGATCAATTTAAATAGCAGTTTGAAGGTAAGATATCTATTTTCCATCTTACCGGGTATACAGTAAAAATAATACACTGAACATAAAACGTTTCGCATAACGGTGGATATATTTTTGTTCATTTAATGATTTACAGTCTGAATAGTGTCAGGTGCATATTGAATATGTTGATCTATGGCAGACAACTACTCTATTATATCAATAAGACAGAAATGCCACTTGTTCTTAAATCGGGCACCAAAATTGTTTTTATACGTTATAATATATGAAAACTGTATGAATTGGTTTTCAATTAAGTGCAAGCTATCTCTCTGAATGTCAGGTTGGAGCCATTTGTTTATGCTATAGTTAGTGATGAAATGGGATATCCATTCATTGGTTTTCAGATTGCAACTTCGGCCTATCAAATGCTTGTAACTCTGCCACTTGTGTTGAAACCAATTTGTTCAGTAAAACAGAAAAGTCAAAACCATACTGGACAACAATTACTTATCATACAGAAAATGACACATAACCGACTTTTAAATGGGGGGGGGGAGGTGAGAATAAATGTTTCTTGTGTTTTTGTACGGGTTTTCATTTGCAGCAGTTGAGATGATATGATATTCCTAGTTGATGTGTAAATAAGAGGGTGATTACGTTGCCACTGTTTGATACGTTATCAATCTTACGTCAGTCGATGTATACGAGTATCAAGCTAATCAGTACCTAACTCTTTTAAAAATACTGCTAACAAAAGAAAACAGGTTAGATAGTTGAATCACTCAGAAGATCAGTGCATATTATTATTCAGTCAAAGGTTATTTAGGGTAAAACAGTATAGATTATCTGACCATAACCGGCTTAAATATGAACTCTGGGTCTACAACTGTTAATCAGCGCAAAGAAGATGCTAAGAAGCGATTGCCTTAGGATGGATACCTAAGATTTTAAACAAAGTTCAAATGAATGAAAGCACCTGCTGATGTCTTAGTAGATTATTTAGGTAAGATTTAGGTATTTTAAGTATTCACTTATTTATTTTATAACTGATAGTATTTTTGTGTCAAGCTGGCATGCTACAAGCTTAGCCAAGCTGACTCATCTCATCTGTCAGAATTACTCGGTTCACTGGTCAGCATGGGTTTGTGAGGACTTTGAAAATACAGTATTACAGTAACAGTACGCGTTCTTTCTCTATGAGTATATGATTTCAAGTTCAAATGAATATGAGTTCCAAATTTCATGCATTTGGTTTTCTTGAAAATACTCGGATTACAATTCACGGAAGCGTTCGCTATAAACCGCTTTCAATCAGACTTTTATATACAGAAGAAGAATGTGTGGTTAAACACACGTTCATGGTGACTGATTTAATCTTCTTTCATTTCAACCGCATAATTCTGTATTTCATTCCTTTACTAATTTCAACCCACTGAGTTGATCTCAGTTTTATGGATATCATTTCTGTTGATATTGCGTAAACTTCTGGCCAGTATAATTGTTCCTTTCATACATTTCTTACCTCTGTGTACGACTCTTGAACAATCTATTAGATACTATATAGATTATCAGTGATT